GTTAAAAATAAGAGGCCAAGACAAAACAAAAGGACTAGAAAAAGTTATTGGATGAGAGACAATTATTAAACTTAACAGCAATGGGAGAAACCACAAAGGAATGGATAAGTTTGAATACATTCAAAAAAGGAAAAAAGTCCAAGTGACATAAACAAGAAAAGCCCAAACCAATTTTAAAACCCATACTAAAGAAAAAAAATTTTTTAACTACAAATGCATGTAAACATATGAAAAGAAGTTTATTCTCATTAGTAATCAAATGCAAACAAAGAAGCATGAGTTAAGAAATGATCCTAAAGCTGTGGTGAGACTAACACTTTCATATCTGCTGGTGGGAATGAATCGTGGTACAACTTGTATGGAGGAGAATTAAGCATACATATGAAGTATCTTAAAATATTCACACTCTTCAAACCAACAATTCTACTTCTACACGTGACTCTTAAGGAAAAAATCTGAACTACTGTGCAAAATATTGTATTAACAAAAAACTGGAAAGAATCTAAATGTCCAAAAGGGACTACTTCAGATAAAAGATAAGAAAATTCTTTTATTTATACAACTGAATATTAAGTGGTAATGTAAAACGTGGCTTACTTCGTAATATGGGGAAATAAGATCATGTCAATAAAAAAATGCAACACAGATAAACTACATACAGAATGACCTTTTAACTATTTTTTTAATGTATAGAAAAAAAGGCCAGAAAAAAATGCACCCACTGTTAGAAGAGCTATCTCTGGATGATAAGCTTATGGGAGATTCTCCAGACTGTTTCTGGTATCACCCAAATTTATTTAAATGAATTCATATACTTATAGAGTCAGAAAACAAACCTAAAATTACAAAACCCACAAACCTCTCAGTTGCTCTTCAAACTCAATAAAGTACAGATGCATCGCTTTGGTGGTCAAGGCTCTCTACGCTATATTCCCACTGTTTTTAGGCAGGTATGCCTACCCTTCTTAAGGCTCATCAAAGCAGACTTCCTATGGCTTCCCGAACAAGCCCCACACCTTTTCACTTAAGCATCTCAGCTTGGACTATTTGAGCCACCTGGATCACAATCTCTACCTAGCCGAATTCTAGCATCTTCCAAAGTTCTTGAGAAACACCACCTTTTCTAAGAAGTTTTTCCTAACTCGGTGCTAACCCAGTCACCCCCATTAGATGTGATTTTTTCCTGCTCTTTGACTCCTACAGAAATGATTTTAGCACTCATTCCTCTTGATAGAGCTCTGTTTTGATGACTCTACTAGATTGTAGTCGTTCAGGAAGGGGCTCTATCCTTCTTTGGCGCTTTCTCTAATACTGACACACTGTTTCCCAGAATTAAGCACATAGTATGTGAGGAACTGAATACATTATTGTCACAAGGGATTAGTCTCTTTCCTTGGCCACAAGAAGGAGGAAGATAGAAGGGAAAATGTTTCTCATTCGAGACTCAGCATGAAATTTCTTACAGAAACAATGAGGACAGAAACAGTAGTATTGCTACAACAATTATGGACTTAGATTTTATTCTTTTTGCAGCTACAAATCTATCCATAATTGGTAACTTAATTTCTGTGGAAACAAAAACATGCTCAGAATTCCCGAGAACCTACCCCCCAAGGAGGTGTTGGAGTACAGCCAGTGTGTAACGTAACATACTTGCAAATAATATTTTCCTTTAGGAAAAACATCATGTTTGCTTAAGCCTGCCTTAAGCCTCTTCTGAAACAAAATATTGTTAACAATAAGGGGAAAATGAAAGAGGAAGGAGGAAAGTGGATGTTCTCAACACCTAACTTCTAAAAAGTAAACTTGAAAGGGAGAACACAGGCAAATCAAAAAACCCTTTTCACCACTTTCCTACTCTACCTTTACCCAGTGCTGTATTTCAGGAAACAACTGAAACTTTGAGGGGAGAAAGTCTTTAAAGAACTTTTATTTTCCTTTCCAACGCAAGTCTTTAAATTAATTAATATTTGCAATGGCTATGCAGATAACTCACCCACGTACATTCACACATCCCCAGGTGTGACAAAACCCTCCCTATACTTAATGCCAGACAGTGCTTTAATTTGAAATAACACTGGTCTTTAGGAGACATTTTGTGAGGGCTGCTCTTTGCCAGATTTTGGTGGGGGAGGGGAGATGGTCAGGACAGCTCTTAATATAGACTTGGACTCATCTTCATATGTATGTATTTAAACATTGCTGTATTCAATCAATGACTATGTATTCAGAGCTGTGATAAGTATACAGAGGCGAGTCAGACCCTGCCCTCAAGGCCCAAAGGCTGCCCCAGACCCACAGACATTCTACTGAAGGAAATGAACAATAAGGAAACAAATGAACAGGAAATTACAGGTTATGGTAAGAGCCGTAAAGGAGACAAGACAGGGAGGCTACTTAATAATTGGCAAAGGTCTCTCGTATACATGTAAACCAAGATGGAAAAGAAAAGAAGGACGTAGCCATGCTCACTCCCTATAAAGAGCCTTCCTTCCAGGCAGAGAGAACTGGAAAGGTCCCGAGATGGAAACAGTCAGTCCATCTGGAGTGTGTAAAAGCAGCAGTGTGGCTGGTCATGTTATTCAAACTGTGGGTCACATTTGTAGGTTGAGATGTCAATTTTATGGGTCATGCTATCAGGGAGTCATAGGTTTTCAGCATAAGTATTCTTTAATGAACTTTTGCTTCAGTTATGTGTGTGCGTGTGTACTAAGTTACAACGTATAATACGTTTCTTACTGTGGGCAGTGGTGAAATCTGTACTAAGCAAGAGGAGTAGTAAAAGATGAGGATGGAGCTCATCCAGCTCGTGCATACATGGCCTCACAGTGTAGGCCACCATAAAGAATTGGGGTCTATGCTAAACACAGCAGAAAGGTACTGAAGGGTTTCAAGCTGGGGAGTGCCATGATCTAATTAGACATGACGGTGCTGCCAAAAGATCACTAGAGTGAATTCAGAAGACCCGAGCACCAGCCCCGGCCTAGCTACTAACACTAGGGCGTTTGAGCAAATCACTTCATCTCTCTAGAGCTCACTTTCTTCACTGTAAAAATGAGAAGGTTGGACCAAGATGACCTTCAAGATCTTATCTATCGCTAAATTCCATGACTATATCCTGCTTCCTCCCTCGGGCCTAAGTAAATGACCATTAGGGAGAACTAGCTCATTAGGTCAAGTTCTGGGTTACTTCTTACAATGTTATAAACCATGTAGCTCTAAGAGTTACATTTATACAGAAAGCAATTTTAGAATTCTCTCTTTACTGGAACCAGCTATCTTATTAGAAATGAGATCTCTGGGCTACAAGTGAATCAAGTGCTTTTGCAACTCTCTGGTACAAAGTTTGGAATGTGAAGAAAACTGACAGGGAGGGATGAAAAGATTTACTGACTAGGTTATTCCAAACATATTTCTTTATTTGTTCTAGGTCATTAACTGACATACCATCTAGGGCAGTCTAAAGCTGTAGGGAACCTCCGCTCAGCACTAAAATCAAGACGTAGAAGCTGAACTCCTTTCACATAACCAAAAAGACTACTGAGGAAAAATACTGAGAGCCTACTATATGCTAACCCCATGCTACACAGTTTAATATATGCCTTTTCATTTAATTCTCCTAACCTAATTATTCACATTTCACACTTATGGAATCAGGGGCTCAGAGAAGACAAGCAAGCTAGTAAGTAGCAGGGTTTGGATTAGACTATTTATTCCATATTTATAATACATTATCCTACAGGCTTCTGAAAATTACTGTACAAAGATTAAATCATCAGTTAAATATTGGACAACTCAAGTTATCTGTGACATCTGGACACAGAACGTTCACCCAATAAATCAATTCTGTACTCACAGGTACTTTGCTATGTACAGTGTGGGATGAAAGATAAGAACTTGCTCCAGCACGAGAGGGCCTACTTCGTGGGTAGCCTGCTGGGTTGTAGGAAGTACAATTAGGCAAAATGGCCGAGGAATTCAGATCCCCAATTAAGCACACGTGAGTAGTATTACAGCTGTTTCCAGGTTCATTTTCTCGATTGTTGCTCGTGAAAGGTCATTAGAGGTACAGTGTCACCTGAGCTGAGGGCCTGACAAGTGTCCTGCAAGTTCCATAAACTCGAGACGCTCAAAACACTTCCAACTTACGTTAACCCTTTAGGAATCAATGGACGCATCACTTGCCCAAATGGAGCAGTGTCCTTGCCATATTACGCAGAGTAAAACCTGGGAAACGTGGAGGGCACGGTCCCTAACCCCGTGAGGATCGAAATGGTCCCTAATGACTCCCGCAAACACCCCAGCAAAGTTGGGGACGCTCATTTCACACCTGCCTCAACACCGAGATTGCGGTACCCACCTGTCACATACTCAGCTTCGAACCTCCGTCGGACGTCAGAGATGAGCTTGGCTTTATTCTGGGCTTGATACTATAAGGGAGACACGAAGGGACGCTTAGACATTACGCGCTCCATCCCACTTCCCCGCTGCCCAGCCCACCTGCACCTGGGCGCACGGCCCCCGAGGCTTAGAGGCGGCTTCGGGGTCCGAGTTGGAGGGGCTCGGCAGCGGTGCGGTCGGCTCCTCACCTCGGCCATGGTCGCGGTCGTGGACGTGATTGCAGTTGCCGTCGCCACTTCCACGACTGCGGTCCGACTATCTCATCACAGGGCAAGCCGGCCCGGAGGTAAAGAGGGAAGGGCGGGAGGTGGAGGCGGTCGCGTGACAACGGAAGGCGGGCAGCAGCGCCGCCGCGCCGCCCAATCCGGTGCGGCCGCCTGGGAATGGAGGCGGGACCAGGCCCTCAACCTGGCTTCCCATTCACTTCTTGTTCGGGCCCCGCCCCCCGACGTCTCCTGCACTGCGGACCCGCCCCCGCCAACCGGGGGATAGCGGGCGCTTCCCTCTTCAAGCTCAGCCCTGGCTAGCTCCTCCTGCTATTCGCTTTCACAACATTCCCCGGAGGCCTCGCCTCCTCAGCCTCCCTTGGCAACCCGGTTCTGGCCGCTAGGCAGGCTCCGCCTTCTTTGCGCTGGACGCAGCCTCCGGCCTGGGCCTCCCAAGATGCAGCGCGCGGGCGGGAGGTTTGGAGCCTCCTGGCGCTGAGCGGTTTTGCGACGTTGGGGACGTGGCGGCTGCGGTGTGCTGGAGCCTCACACGCTGAGGTAGGGCCGGCGGCGTGTTCCCTGACCCAGCCTTCGCCGAGGGGTTGGCGGCGGCGCAGGGTTTTGCTCCCCTAGTCCCTTTATTGCGGAAGAGCGCGAAGGAAGTGGGCTACCCGGGGCCTGTGCCCACACTTCTCTGGAAGGATAACTAGATTATTCCAAGTGGTTACTCTATTCGGGGATTATTTCGCTTGACACTTTCTTCACCTCTGCAGCATCTTTCTCACTTGGAGGGTGAAATAAACAGAGAATATATCTTTGACATCTTTAAAACAGGTATATAGAGTTAAAAGATGTAAAGTGTCTTACGGTTTATTAATTAAGGTAGTGCTCAGCCGGGGCCATTTTGCCCCCCCGGGGGACATTTGACCATGTCTGGAGACATTTTTGGTTTTCGCAACAGAAGACTACCAAGAAGTTGTAAGAACGGTCCCCATATTCCCACCAGCCATAGTCAACCACGATGGACACTCTTTTGCCCCAAACTTTGTTTATATGTTCACTTTTTTTTAATGGGGGAAAAATGAACATTGTTTAAAAAGTATTTGAATACGCCCTTGAAATAGTATTTCAGATATGGCTAAAGCCTCTCTCTGGCTCCACTCCCCTACTCTGATATTCCTCTTCTCCAAAATCAGTAGTCATTGGGATTTGGCATGAATCTTTGCACCTTTGCTTTTTTTGCTTTGGACCAGGCTGCCTAGGTTTGAATCCTGGCTCTATCGCTTCCTATCTGTAGGCCTTAAACTCCATGCCTCAGTTTCCCCATCTGTAGAATGGGATAATACTGCCTACAGCATAAGGACGTCATGAGGAATGAATTAGTCCAAAGTGCTTAGAACAGTGCCTGGCATAGAGAGAGCAGTCAGGGAATACAGCCATTGCAGGTAAACAAAATATATCATGCTGTTTTATGTGTTTTGATTTTGATACATAATGTACTACAGTATACATTTTTCTTCAACTTAATTTTTTTCATTTGACTTTTGAAGTCTAGCCCCAAGGATACACATCTAATTCATTCCTTTTAACTGTAGTATGATATTCCATCTGTATTCATTCCCCTATTGGTGGTCATTGAAGTTCTTGCTTTTCAAAAAAAAAATTGCAAATAACGGCAAAGTGAACATTCTAGAGCAATGTCTTTGTGCATTATTATGTAGGATTATTTCTCTGGGTTCATATCTAGAAATGAAATTGCTGGGTATATGCATTTCTGTTTACTGCTAAATTGCCTCCCAAAGTCTCCCTTTAATTAAGTACTTGTAATGAATTCCTAACTGATGGCTCCTCCTCCAATCTCAATTCACTCCCCCATCTTCAACACTGTCACCAGGATCTTTATTATTCAGAAGTACAATCCTGTGATTTCTTTTTTTTTTTTTTTGCGGTACGCGGGCCTCTCACGGTTGTGGCATTTCATGGTTGTGGCATCTCCCGTTGCGGAGCACAGGCTCCAGACGCGCAGTCTCAGCGGCCATGGCTCACGGGCCCAGCCGCTCTGCGGCATGTGGGATCCCCCTGGACCGGGGCAAGAACCCGTGTCCCCTGCATAGGCAGGCGGACTCCCAACCACTGCGCCACCAGGGAAGCCCCTGTGATTTCTATTTTTGAAATCTTTCAGTGATTTATCACTGCTTAGAGAAAGCTAGAATTCCTTAGTATGGTATCAAGAACCTTTAATTTAATCTTTCCTGATTCTCTTAGTGGACCACCATCCCCCCACATTCATCTACATTTCAGGTACACTAAGTGTTGTTGGGAAAGGGAAAGGGGAGACTGATTCTGGGCAAGCCCCAACAAATGACCTAGGTATATAGGTAGAAAAAGTTTTAACAGTGGACCCATTCTGTAGCCAAGTTAATTTACTTAGGTAAACAATGTCCTATATGTTGGAAAAATGATATCTATGGGTATTACGCTCATAAGTTTATGTTTAATATTATTAGGTGAAGTTGTTAGTTGGGAGTCTTAATTCTATCTTTTTTCCAAAGGTAGAATTCCAAAGACACTTTCCATTGGTCGCAATCTATCGATTGGTTTCTTAAGAATTTTATAGCTTTCACCTGCAGATAATATAGTGTCTTTTAGGATCTTCCTGAACCAGACTTGTAGTTTATTTAAGAGTTCTGAAATTTATAATGCCAAATGTTATTATTAGCATTGAACGGGAACATTGTTTATTTGGTGGGAGGCTGGGAGAGAAGGGTGATAATTCGTTGCCCATCTACTATATTTAGGTTAGCATGTATTGTTTTTCTAGTATACTCACACATCTGTTGCCATTTTGTATGTGAAATATATACAGTCAACTTTGATGTGTGGTAATACAGAACAGGAAAAGCTCAAATTAACTACCTAGTATTTTACAAATAATCTGCATCCAAATCTCCCCTCCCTCCTTCCCTCCGCCACCCTCCTCCAGAGCTGAAACAGGAGGTAAAACTTAACTGGTTTGAGTTACCTGTTTTATTCTGCAGCCACTGTTATAAGAGTACCAAGTAAAAAGTCAAGTGACTAATAGGCTGGAATACTAAGCCTGGTGTCCTGATTTGATTAATCAAGGCTTGTTTATATTGGTTTAAGAACCTCTAAATTGAACCTGGGTTTGTTTCCAGATTATTTCTATCTGAAAAAACAACATTACCACTTATTCCATAGCCTTAAAGGTTTGTCTTATGTACATATACTCAGAACTTTTACTTTTAAAAAAGATGTTGCATAGTATAAAGTAAAACAGGTATTCACAGATATGTGAATTCAGTAAGCCTTGAGATAACAGAAATTTTGAGGAAAAATTTATCTTTATAAATATATTATAGTTTCTAATTTTTAACCCTGAAGATGGTCCATTTAGAATAACTTACCTTAAAAATGTGCATGTTTTTGCAGTAGTATTTAAAAGTAAAAAAATAATGACCTTTTATGTAACAGTTATGTTTTTTAAATCTATTTGAGTCTAAGTCCATGAGAAGAAGTTTGCTTTTTGCCTAGAGCTCATGCTAAAAGCATGTTGGGTTAGGATTATAATAGGATAATAGGATTATAATTTAGCAGTGGCTTGCACCCTTTTATCTCTATGTCATTCATACGTTCAGTACACTGTTTCGCATCTGTCTTTCCAGGTAGTAGTTTAGGGATCATAGATCGTAGATCTGGGGGGTGCGGAGGAGTGGCGGTAAGTGCATGCAAAGCTTTTAAATTAGGGGACAGTTACCCAGTCAAGTTTGTGTTTTAGAACAATAACTGAGGTAGGATAAATGAATGGATATATTGCAGGGGAGAGAGACTAGATTAAGGAAGACTGATTAAAGGGCTTTTATCGCAACGTAAATGAGAGATGAAAGCCTGAATCATCATAGTGGCAGTTGGATCAGAGAATTGGAAGAAAGAAGTTTCTAAGTTAAGGAACTTGGTGATAGCATTAAAAGAATAGAATGTAAGGGGCCTGATTTTCCTAACTCATTTCTTTATGAAGGTGCAACAATACATACTCCAAAGATTTTTGAAGGGGACGGTTCTGTGACCTTTTACTTAGTGGTCTTACCACTAAGATCCTCCTTACTCCTGTCACACTTGGGTGTTGGTGAACAAGAGCATTGTGTTGATGACACATTAGTTGTGACATTTAATATTAAAATAACAAAATCCTTTCCTGGACAGAAGGTATTTTTGGTTGTTTTTAGTATTAAGAAATCTGAACACCTTTTGAAGTGAGTAGGTAGTAAAAGACAATGAGTGTTTAGATCTTTACCTCAGAATATATAATTTATATTTATAATATATAATGCTAAAAAAGAATATATCATTTAGTGCTAAAAAAGGAAACTTTCTTAGAAGTCTTCTAAGAGGTCTGAGATGTCTGTGGGAAATTTGAAATAAATTAGTAGTCATACATTTTGATGTAATATAACCAATATGTGTATTTCCTTTCAAGTAAAACGTAGTTTCATAATTAAAAGCCACACCTTTGGTTACCCTATGTATCTTCTTTACTGATGAAGCTGAAACTACTCTGGGGTACCTGTTGTCCCAGATCTTCGCATGAATTGCTTAACAACAAGCCAGGAAACTGGCTTCTGCTAGTTTGTATTATGATCTAGTATCTCCAGTTACTTCACTAATACTTCTTGAAATTCTCAAAAGCAATATCATCAATTTGATTTGGAAAAAAAACCCAAGTGCCATAGAGGAATGTATTTATCTGTTGCTGCATAACAAATTACTCCCAAATTGAGCAGCATAAAACAACAAACATTTATTAACTTAAAATTTCTGAGGACCAGGAATTTGGGAGCCGCTTAGCCAGGGTGGGTCTGCTCAGGAAAACTTGACTGGAGCTGGGAGATGGGATCCCTGGAAGGCTCACTCACATGGCTCTTGGCAAAAGGCCTCAGTCCCTTGCTGGCTGTTGGCAGGAAGCCACAGTTCCTTGCCATGTGTACATCTCCGCGGGGCTGCCCGAGTGTCTTAATGATACGGCAGGTGGCTTTCCCCAGTGCAAGTGAGCCGAGGAACAGGTCACTGAGGAAACCACCATGCTCTGTCACCCAGTCTTCTGCTGTATTCTGTTGGCTGGAAGTGAGTCATAATGACCAGGCCTCACTCAAGGGGAGGAGAGTTCCTTCTTGATGGAAGGAATTTCAAAGAAATTTGTGAGCATATTTTATTTTATTTTTTTGGCTGCGTTGGGTCTTCGTTGCTGCGCACGGGCTTTCTCTGGTTGCGGGAAGCTGGGGCTACGCTTTGTTGCAGTGCGCCAGCTTCTCATTGTGGTGGCTTCTCTTGCTGCGGAGCATGGGCTCTAGGTGCGTGGGCTTCAGTAGTCGCAGCACGTGGGCTCTAGAGTGCAGGCTCAGTAGTTGTGGCACATGGGCTTAGTTGCTGTGAGCATATTTTAAAACCACATGTATTTGGAAGTTAGACAATAAGGTGCAGCATCTCCAATTCGAATGTAGATGCTGACTAATCTAGTCTGCTTTTAAGTAGAATTCCCTCTAAATCAAGTCATTTCAATAAAATGCAGGCTATATTAAGTTAAATTTATAGATTAATGGTTCAGTGATATTTTTTTCTAATTGGACTATTGGTAGATTTTTATATTAAAAGAACAAAACCTAAGCCTTTGGAGTTTGCTTCTCATTTGAAAGAGGAAAACAATATTACTTCCTTGTACATGACCTAGTTTTCATTTATTTCTAAAGTACTTTATTTTCCTGGTGTAAGTGATCCACAAATAAGAGAAAAGAGAGAGTATGAGTTAGAGTTACTTATAGTGAGTGACGGGAGACATTTCAGCATTCACAGACCATTAAGTATGCAACTATTCTGATGTTTCTAAGATTAGGTACTGTATGAACCAGAGCCAGCCATGATGATGAGAATGATAGTAGCTAGCCTTTATTAGCACTTTCTATGTGCCAGCTTCTATTTCAAGTGAGTTATATTAGCTAATTCCAGCACCTTGTGGGGTAGATACTGTTACTACACCCCATTACATAGATGTGGATGTGAGGCACAAAGGGGTTAAGAAACTTGCCATAGATCACACATCTAGTAAAAGGCAGGCCCAACATTCAGAGGGTGTTCTAAAGGTGCACGGTTCTTAGCATATGCTAAGCATTTGGTAACTGTTACAGGAGTGACCCAGCATATATAGCCACTGGATAAAGAGACATCAACATCTTTTTCTTACATGTTTTCTTACATGTGTTCAGTGGAGGGGGTGTTCCTTTGTTATGTATTCTACTTTACTAATTCTCTCAAGTTGCCTTTCTTATAACCAGTGTTCAGAGTAAGGGAATGTGTGCCAGGACAGTGTAGTGGTTAAAAGTGTAGGTTCAGGAGGCATTGGGCCCCTCTTCCAAATCTAGTGCCATTGCTGATTAGCTTTGTAAGCTTGGAAGAATTTTCTGACCTTTGTTAGACTACGGTTTTCTTGTTTATAAGATGGGATAATAAGAATACTTACTTTAAAAGAGTAGTTGTGAGCTTTAAGTGAAATAATGCATGTATTGTACCTGGCATATAATAAGCGTGAATAATTGATAGCTATTATTTAATTCTTGTGTTCATTATAATAATGATACTCTATTTTGATCCTCTGTTTTATAGAGGATCCTCTATTTTATAGATCCTCTATAATCTCTATTTTCTTCTACTTTGAATGAGGATAGTGACTTCCTTAGGGTGTAAAACTGCGCTGTTTTTGCAAAGTAAGATTTAAGATTTATTTCTGTTACGCTTATGGAGATTTTTTTAAAGCCATGTTACAGCATCTCCTGTTTTTCTTTCTGGGCTTTCATTTTGGCCATCGAGTCCGTTTGAACTCCTTTCTCAGGGTAGCAGGAACCCAAGCGCCTGGGCTGTGGGAGTGCTCTAATTTGAATACTTGACTGACTGAGTTGTCATTGTAGAGGGACTAAGGCCGACAGGGAGAAACCAGATTAGGTTGGTAGGTTTGAGAGACAGAAGTAGAACCCTTAAGAAATTCCCTGAGCCAGAGAGAATGTGTGCAGTTTCTTATAATAGAGCACCCACACCTTTTAATAGATGCTGTTAACACATTCGGTTATCTTTTGTGGTGTGGTTATTTGCATTCTTGGCAAACTGTGTTTTTTAACGGCTGTACAGAAATAATATTCGGGATACAGTTTTTTGATAAGCGTGACATTGTTAAAATAGCATAAAAAGCTTAAAAATGTCAAAGTTTATAGTTACCTATGTGATGGTTCTCTAACAAAAACATGCGTTTTCTTTTCAGCTCTGCCTACTGGATGGCAGTTTCCCTCATTTCATTTTTAGGTTTAGAAGCATCAACTGGAATCGATTTACATTTGAAAATTGGACTTGATACTGTGGCTTTACTAGCAAACAAGCAATGTCATCTAATGAACAAGAAAGGCTCTTCTGTTATAATGGAGAAGTCCTTGTTTTTCGTTTGTCTAAAGGAAATTTTGTAGATGAAGGGCCTACAAAAACAACTGTGTTACATGTCAGAAGAATGGTATTTGACAGAGGAACAGGAGTATTTGTTCAGAAATCCACTGGATTCTTCAGGATAAAAGAAGAATACTCTCATTTAAGAATTATAGGTTGCAACTGTGTTTCAGATTTCAGAACTGGAATTAATCTGCCTTATATTATGTTACAGTGCATTAAAAAGAGTAACGTTTTCAGATATTTTCTACTATTTCTTCACAGTACCAATAAATTTGAAAAGCGTTTGAGTTTTAGCCTACACTGTGAGTTGAAGGACAGCATAAGGGTCCTTAATGGCCCTTTAGTTTTATGGAGACATGTCCAAACATTCTTTTATATCTCTTCCCAAACTGGCAAAGTTGTTACTATGTCCATTAAGTTTTCCTCTATTGAGTGGGCAGGGGAGATTGCAAATGTAGGTATGGTTTTGTTAGGACGAAAGAGATGTAACTTATCTGAGGAAGGATGTACCCTACAGCCTTCAAAATCAGATTATGCAACTTGGAATACTCAATTTTGTGTATACTCGCTCGAAAGGGAAGAAGTAATAAGTGATACATACATTATCCCTCCTGTTTATACCAGTGTGATAACATGTGTGCATGTCTGTGCAACTGAGATTGTCAACAACCGGTTAAGAATGTCGCTGATTGCTCTTACTCAAAAGAATCAGCTGATTTCATTCCAAAATGGGACTCCTAAAAGTGTGTGCCAGCTTCCGTTTGGAGATCCTTGTGCAGTTCAACTTATGGATTCAGGTGGAGGAGACCTCCTTTTCGTCATATCCTTTAGGGCCAGTGATGCTTGTGCTGTTTGGGAAAAGAACTTTCAGGTATGGTACCTTTTTTTTTTAAAGAAGATGTTGGGGGTAGGAGTTTATTAATTAATTAATTTATTTTTGCTGTGTTGGGTCTTCATTTCTGTGCGAGGGCTTTCTCTAGTTGTGGCAAGCGGGGGCCACTCTTCATCGCGGTGCGCGGGCCTCTCACTATCGTGGCCTCTCTTGTTGCGGAGCACAGGCTCCAGACGCGCAGGCTCAGTAGTTGTGGCTCACGGGTCTAGTTGCTCCGCGGCACGTGGGATCCTCCCAGACCAGGGCTCGAACCCATGTCCCCTGCATTAGCAGGCAGACTGTCAACCATTGCGCCACCAGGGAAGCCCCTTCATGTTCTTTTTAAG